CCCACCATACTCTCCCCGTTCAATTTCTCGATGTGATCTCCCACTAAAATGTGTTCGATGCGATCAATAATGGATCCCTCTTTGATCCGTTTGATAAATGCAAAACCGGCACCATTATCGGTAATGGTCAGGCCCAAGGCATCTTCCGATTTGACAATTTCAATTTCCTTTGGCTGGCCTTTTCGATGGGCAAATATGAAATCATCCAAACCAATTTGACCACCCAGCAGTTTGGTCATATCCACCTTGTGGGAGTTGAGGGTGCAGAACAAGATCTCCTCAGCTGGTATATCATAACATTCGGCAATTTTCTTATACAATTCTCGTACACTGGCAAAGCCGGTAATTAGGCCAGTGGGACTGCCATGGGCCAGCTGGCAATGGAATACTAATTGGGGTTTTTGAACATTTGATTCACTTATCGATGGTGTCCTTTGAGTGTAATTGCCATTCTGTTGTTGTTGCTGCTGGCTGGGGGGTACTTTACCATTTGACATTAGACCATTGTTGTTGTCGTGAAATACCGAATCGGCTGGTATTGTGGGCTTGGGAACTTTCTTGGCAAATAGTGGCATTTTAGACTTTGTTTTCGATTTTGAATGCGGGATCAGTTAAATTCTTCTGGAGGTTCTTTCGGATCTCTAAATTTCGTTATCGTGTTTCCAATCTATTTAAAGATGAAGAAAATAGCTTGGATTTAGTTTGAGGTTTTTATTTTGGTTTTTTCTGTATTTTTGTAGGGAGTTGTGATTTGTTGTTACCATCACCATGTTGTTGTTGTTAGTTTTATTGTTTTCTTATGGAATTTGAGTAGGATGATGCATTTTGGTTACATAAATGAAGTGCATTTTTTGTTAGTTATGAATTATTCAGACATACATAGAGGGGCTACACTTAAATTTAATTTTTATTTTTATTACAAATGAAGGCAAAGATTCAAAAATTAGTCCGACACTGAGGCCAGATTTTTTCTATAGAGGCAATTTTTTTCCATAGAAAAAATACCTCAGACACTGAAGTCAGACTTTTCTATAGACACTGAGGTCTGTTTTTTTTCTATAGAAAAAAATTCCTTAGACACTGAGGTCTGATTTTTTTCTATAGAAAAAAATTCCTTAGACACTGAGGTCTGATTTTTTTCTATAGAAAAAAATTCCTTAGACAGTGAGGTCTGATTTTTTTCTATAGAAAAAAATTCCTTAGACACTGAGGTCCGATTTTTTTCTATAGAAAAAAATTCGTCAGACATTGAGGTCTGACTTTTTTCTTTTTTCTATATGACTCTGACTTTTTTTGCTATAGAAAAAAATTCCTCAGACATTGAGGTCTGACTTTTTTCTATAGAAAAAATTCCTCTGATTTTTTCTATAGAAAAAATACCTCAGACTCAGAGTTCGTATTTTTTTCTATAGAAAAAAGTACCTCAGGCACTGAGGTCAGATTTTTTGTTTCTATAGAAAAAGATACCTCAGGCACTGAGGTCAGGATTTTTTCTAGAAAAAAATTCCTTAGACACTGAGGTCTGATTTTTTTCTATAGAAAAAAATTCCTCAGACACTGAGGTCTGATTTTTTCTACAGAAAAAAATTCCTCAGACTCTGAGGTCGTTTTTTTTTCTATAAAAAAAAAAAATTCGTCAGACATTGAGGTCTGACTTTTTTCTATAGAAAAAAATTCCTCAGACATTGAGGTCTGACTTTTTTCTATAGAAAAAAATTCCTCAGATTTTTTTCTATAGAAAAAATACCTCAGACTCAGAGTTCGTATTTTTTCTATAGAAAAAAGTACCACAGGCACTGAGGTCAGGATTTTTTCTATTGAAAAAAAATATCTCAGACACTGAGGTCAGGATTTTTTCTATAGAAAAAAAAATAACTCAGACACTGAGGCCAGGGGGTTTTCTATAGAAAAAATACCTCAGTGTCTGAGGTCAGATTTTTTCTATAAAAAGTACATCAGAGTGTTAAAAAAATGCTTCAGACCTTGAGATGTGATTTCCACAGCTCCCATATAAGATGGCACTGAGTTGTTTTTTTATAGAAAAAAAAAAATACCTCAGGGACTGAGGCCAGATTTTTTCTATAGAACAAATACTGACGTCAAGTTTTTTCCATAAAAAATTATTCCGACACAAGGAAGAAGTAAAATTTTTCCTAAATCTTAGACGACACTGAGGTCAGATTTTTTCTATAAAGAACATCTTCAGACACTGAGATCTAATTTTTTCTAAAGAAAAAACTACCTCAGATACGAAAGCCAAATTTTCCTTATAGAAAAAATACCTCAGAGTGTGATGACAGATTTTTTTCCGTAGAAAAAATGACTCAGACACTAAGGCCAGATATTTTCTGAAGAGGAAAAACTCGATCAAATCTGTTCTACAGATGAAAATAATTGGGTCATTGGATGGTAGATTTTTTGTATAGGAAAAATTCGTTTATCACTGAGAAGAGATTTGTTTGTATAGAAAAGTTCATATTTTTTTTCTATAGAAAAATATGCCTCAGACATAGAGGTCAGATTTCTTTCTTTAAATATTAGGTTGGGGAAAAAGAAAAACATTAGGCCAGTCGACGAAAATGTTGATAAAATCGGGGAAATGATCGATGTTGACCGTAATATCGCCCAGGAGCTAAAAATCGACCATAAAACGGATTTAAACCATTTACACAAAGCTGGATTCAAACAGAAGCTCGATGTTTGGGCGCCACACCAATTAACAGAAAAAAGTGGAATTACCATCTGCGAAGCCTTGGCCAAATGGAATGAGAAATGGGTCTTTCTTAAACGGATGGTGACTGGAGATGAGAAATGGATCACATACCATAACTCTGTGCGAAAACGATCGTGGTCAAAAAGCGGTGAAACACCTCAAACGGTGGTCAAACCAGGACTAACGGCCATGAAGGTCCTGCTGTGCATTTTTTGGGACTGGAAGGATATTATTTATTAGGAGTTGCTTTAATATGGCCAAAAGCTAAATTCTGATCTCTACTGTCAACAACTGGACCATTTGAAAATAACAATAGACCAGAAACTGCCAGAATTGGCCAACAGGAGAGGTGTCGTGTTGCACCAGGAAAACGCTAGGCCACACACATCTACAATGACTCGCCAGAAACTTCGAGAGTTTGGTTGGGAAGTCCGGACTTGGCACCAAGCGATTATTCTCTTTTTCTTGCATTGCAAAATTTCTTTAATGATAAAAAATTGATATCTAGGGAGGATTGTGAAAATCGACCATTAGAGTTTTTTGCAAATAGAGAGCAGGACTTCTATGAGAGAGGCATTATGTTACCTTACACAACTATGTTGTCAGGGTATTATAGCTTTGTGCAGCCCCAAGGTATTATAGCTTTGTGCAGGGCCAAAGAATAACCATGCCTATTTTTATAAAGATCGGTCAATATTTAGCTGGTCAAATGGACCTTGACTTTTGTGAAAGAAATGACAAAATTTATATTCTATAGCGTATTTATTTACTCCTGAAGGACATAGACCCGAGAAGTTGATAGTATATCCAAGAGGAGTGGTTGGCCTTTAAATTGGTACCAATTAGATGGCTTCTCTCTGATGTGGGAGTTATACGTGAATTAGGTAAAAGTGACTATGTGCATAGTATTACTATTACTCCATTAGAGAACGGAAATTTCGCGCTGATCGCTTTGAAATTGTAAATGAAGTTCCGAATATGGTCAAGGACGACGCCTATAGTTTTCGGTGAAGTTGAGATTTCATTCAAGGGGTGCAATGAACGGAAAACTTGAATTTTGTCAGATTTTCTAGTCGCTCTCGAGACAATTATTATATGCAGAACATCGCATATTTTACAAGGTGAAGGGGATGTGATCAAATACTTAGAGCGGCTGTTCAGATGATGGTCGGTCAATATTCCGAGGGTCAAATCAACCAAAACCTAAAGTGACCAGTTTTTTTTATTTTATGGCGTAAAAATTCATTTGGCGTAAAAATTCTTCTTGAAAAAAAAATGGAAAATATGCCAGGGTTAGTGAAGTGGAGCTGTTGACCTATCACGAAATATTTCCCAGTTTCAGAATATAGAACCGCAGAAAGTTAGAGTTCCGTGGTAGTTGTGTAGGGTATCATATGGTCGGCCCCGTCCGACTATACTGCTCCGCTCGCTGGTTTTTACACAAATTTATTTTTAAAACCTTTTCTAAAAAAAAATATTTATAAATTATTAATAAAGTTTTAGAGAAAATAAAGTCCATTGTACTAAAATGAAAATGCATTTGCCGGGAATTCTTATAATTAGTATTTTTTTATACCCTTCACCACACTGTCGTACAGGGTATTATGTCTTTGTGCATATGTTTGTAAAAGGCAAAAATAATCGAGATATACCCATGGTTCCTTTTGAGAATATGCATAGAATCACTTTCTGAGTCGATTTAGGCATGTCCGTCTGTCCGTCCATGTATTTTTGTTAACAAAGTACATGTCGCATTTATGATCCGATTTGGATGAAATTTGGCACAGATCACTTAATTGGCCCAAGGGCGAACCCTATTTAAATTGGAGAAAATCGGTCCATGTTTAGGCATAGCTCCCATATAAGGGTATCCCCAATTTTCGGTATTTTGAGGTTCTTGAGCGCGTTTTTTAACTGAATTCGCTGAAATTTAGTATTTTGTGTTATTATTGGGTAGCAAATCTCCCTACCAAAAGTTATAAATAAAGGTCCATTTTTTCGCAGAGTCCCCATATAAGGGTACCACCAAATTTTCGGTATTTTGAGGTTCTTGAGCGCGTTTTTTAACTGAATTCGCTGAAATTTGGTATTTTGTGTTACTATTGGGTAGCAAATCTCCCTACCAAAAGTTATAAATAAAGGTCAATTTTTTCGTATAGCCCCCATATACGGGTACCACCAAATATTCGGTATTTTGAGGTTCTTGAGCGCGTTTTTTAACTGAATGCGCTGAAATTTGGTATTTTGTGTTATTATTAGGTAGCAAATCTCCCTACCAAAAGTTATAAATAAAGGTCTATTTTTTTCGTATAGTCCCCATATAAGGGTACCCCCAATTTTCGGTATTTTGAGGTTCTTGAGCGCGTTTTTTAACTGAATTCGCTGAAATTTGGTACTTTGAGTTCTTATTGGGTAACAAATCTCCCTATCAAAAATTATAAATAAAGGTAAATTTTTTCGGATAGCCCCCATATAAGAGTATCCCCAATTTTCGGTATTTTGGGGGTTTTGATCGAATTTTTCGACCGAATTCGCTGAAATTTGGTACTTTGAGTTTTTATTGGGTAACAAATCTCCCTACCAAAAATTATAAATAAAGGTCCATTTTTTCGGAGAGTCCCCATATAAGGGTACCCCCAATTTTCGGTATTTTCGGGTTCTTGGGCTCGTTTTATAACTGAATTCTCTGAAATTTTGTACATTGGGTACTTATTGGGTATCAAATTACTCCACTAGAAATTGTAAATATAGGTCCAGTTTTTCTGGTAGTCCCCATATAACGGTACCCCCAAATTTTTGGTATTTTGGGGGTTTTGATCGTATTTTTCGACCGAATTGATTGTAATTTAGTACGATACGATA